CTGTCTATTAACCAATCAGATTTTTGTAGCGTTTTTTCTTTTGGTTTCAGGAACACAACATAGTATTCTTGGGGTCGATCAATAGGTTATTGAGGGTCCTCTTTCATATGCCTCGAACAGCAATAAGTATTGTTCTGAAAGTACTGAAAGAAAACGACTTCTTCGGTCCTGATTAATCGATACAAAACGGCTGTCAACGAATTACTCTCCAGTAGCGTGTTTCTTCTATGGTAAGAACAGCAAACAGTGATATTTTGACGGATCAACGGGTTATACAGCATCGACTTTCATATGATTCGAACAAAATCTTGGTGTATCCGTAGTGAAGTAAAGAAAAACTGAAAATTAATTGGTAGTTGCCAAGAAACTTGATCATTAGCAGACTTGCACTGCTAACAGAGGAATAAAATTTTCTTTTACATTGATAAGTCAAGTCTCATTTAAGCTTAACATAATATGTTTGTATTCTGGTCATATGTGATGGATCTAACAAAGTGCATCTGATTTGTGGACAAATGATTTCATATGAAACACAGCAGAAAATTATAAGAAAAAAAAAAGAAGTCAGATTAATAGTAGACAATATTTTAATTATGTGAATATGTCAAGTAGGCCTTAGTAGAACAGTGGTATATCATTGCATGAGAACGTTGTTAATCATATATTGTCACTTCTTTTCATTGCAATTATCAAGCCACGTATCTATGCCGCCCATCAAAATTTTTACAATATACTAGAAATAAAGGAAGGTCAAAAAAGATGAGAATGACGAATCACTATAACTTACATCACCGAAACTAAATGGAAAATCTTTACCACGACACATTTGAATTTCTTTCTTTTCATTTCGATAATCAGCAACAACATCAAGATTTGGCATCATTTTATCCCAATCATGTAAATACTTCATAGATTGATTATCATCTAATATAAAAGATACGATATAAAATAATCTATTATTTTTGAAATAAACGAAATCTAACTATTAATAATAGTAAACATGTCTAGAAAATGTTTTGACATTTCTATTATACCTGTACAAATGATAATTGTTACTGGAATCTGATTTGTAGGTTTACGTTCATTTTTGAGAACATGTTCAAGTGTATGAATATCGGGACGTTCTCGTTCATCCGTTGGTATACCATCAGTGGCTATGAGAATAAGTAATTTGCGCTCATAAATATGATTACGCTTGTCATGAAGTACTTGTCGAAGAACAGGTACAATTGGTGTGGCACATAAAAATGATTTAAAAACAATTAAAAATTAGCATAAAAAACAAAATCATATCACATATTTTAATTACCTTCTGGTGCAACAGCAAAAAGATTATCTAATTCAGATGAATCACGTACATGAAATATTGGTTCACGATTGAGAAAATAAACATCAATACCATCAGGATCAAAAACACTGGCTAAATCAACTACTATGGATACTGTTCGCTTTAATTCATCCCCTGAAAACGATAATAAAATTGATATTAAATCGTCTTTGTTCTACTATGCAAAATATCTTACAACGTGTCATTTGATTCCCAAATGGATCATTCATTTCGCCTAGATTGTTAAACAATGATTAGCTGAATAATAAAAATTTGATAATACGATTATTACTTACCAATGGGTGCAGTCATTGAACCTGAATCGTCACATATAAAGACGATTTCATAACCTCGAAGACTATGTAATCGTTCAGCAAAAGCTCTACTGACTAAAACATTATTATACTTGTATAATAAATATATAATCCGATAAACAACGCTCACTTTCATAACGGTTAACAAACTTATTGAAATTAGTCATATAATTATCGCGTGATTCAGAATCATTTCGAGTTGAATGTAGATCAGAATACAGCTGTCTATTTTCATTGACAGATTCATAGTATGGTGGTGGAGGTGGAGCCGATGGTTGTGGATATTCGTTTGGATTCATCCTATTAAATGACGTAGAAATTTGCTGTTTTTATTCAATCTCTTTTCTCTGTTGATGTATTCAAAGCAAAAAATCTTGACGTCTAAAAGAAAAGGAAAAGAGAAAAAAAACGCTGAATGATTCACAAGAACGTGCTCATTGGAATAGAGAAAGCGATGAAAGAAGAAGCCGACACAACAAATACAATACTATTGACATCAAAATAATGACGCTCGCTACAAACATACGTAGAAATTTCTTGTTTCAATGAATACACTCAAAAATATTTTTTATTTGTAAAAAATATTGTATACGAAATTTTCTTTGTTTTTTTTTAGTTGAATATACTAATAATTTTTAATTTAAATTGATAGATAAAATTGGTACCTAACTCTGTTCCTTAAGGATTACCATTTCTACTAGTAAAACTAACAAAACGGAAGAAAACGCGAGGACCCATTGCCTTTTTGAAGATAGATGTCGTTGAAGAACGATATGAGACATCAAAGATGCGTGGAGCAAGAAATTTTTAACGCATTTTGACTTCTAGCTATCTAGATACTTCGAATTGGAATATATGACTGATATTTTTAATAATATGAATTGCTTTTAGTCATCAATTGTATATATATATATATATATCAAATCTTTATATCAGTTGTTCCAGTAGGAAAGGGACAATGATTTTGCTTGACTAATGTATTCATTAACATGGTTTCTAGCTTATATTTTTTTAATTTCATGTTCATTTAAATTTTTAATAAAAATGAAAAACAAAACATTCTTAGGTACAGTATCTTGTTTTTTTCATGTTGAAATTATGACATTGATATATCTTTAATGGTTTGAAATAAAATTCAGTTGATTAATCTTTTTTTTGGACAAATTGCTTCAGTATAACCGTCTATCGTGTAGTGATTGTTTACTTCCAATGAGTATTCATGAGAGAAAAATAACCATTTGTTCTATTTCGAATTTGTTTTCATGTTTATTTTTGTGTACTCAAAGCATTTTTGGTTCGAGCTTAAGACAAGAATGATGTTTTGAACATAGCGACAGTTCTCGGTCCAATCAAGAAGAAATGAGAAAGAATTCATTGAATAACTAAGTGACAATGGATCATTTTGTATTTTCAATAGTTGATCAACCTTTGTCGATTCTTTCTTCTGATTTCTTTTACTAAAATATATGCCAGAGAATTCTCTGCAAAACTATACACGAATGTTTGATTTCAAATGTCAATATAAAATATTGAACAAAAGAACATTAAGCCGCGAAAAAATACCCAACTTTCTAGAAAAAAAAACATTAGCCTCCTCTGTTTTACTATCATAGATTAGATAATAATCGTTTAATGTTATTTTTTTTCTCGAATTTTTGAAGACAAATAAATGGCGTACTAAATACAATTATCAGAACCGTTAATGTGATCTTTCTTTCGAATGAAATCAGAGGAAAAAAAAAAGCCTAATTGTTAACGATTTTCACCTTGTTTAAAAAAGTGTCATTTAATGAATGAAAGGAAACTGAATCAATGTCATGACAAAGACTAAAATAAATCTTGTAAAAAAGTGTCACTTACTGTTTTTTTTTATGTCGAACTCTATTCGCGAAGAAACAAAAAATTTTGAGAAACTAAGCACTATAGAATGTTAGATAATTTGGAGTGTTTTAACATTTTTCTATTCGAGATTTTAAGTTAGTATCTAAAAACAAACATTATTTTATATTCTAGTTGAGAATTTCATCCCATATATTTTTATATCAAATAGTTATGAAAAACGATAGAGATGGTTTGATCAAGTATTGAGAAAGAAAAGCAATCCATTTGCACTGTATCATTCGAGATTTCTAAATAAAAATAGTCATATCTTAAGATGAACACTGCTTAGGAATAAATTTTTCATTTCGTTAGTGTTAATTTCTGTGAATGTTAAAAAAATTTCCTCAGACAAACCTTGATAGATCATGTGTTCTCTTGAATATGTGAAAAAATACATGATAGCACGGGTGTTTGACAAAGGCAATTATTCAGTATGAACAAAGTAAAAAAACATGATTATGTCAATATTCACAAATGCTGTCAATGGAGACTAACCAGACATCATGTATTTGCTGGTTAATTGTTTTAATATAAGCTCAAAGTCAAATCGAAAATCTATCAAAAAGTCGAAATTTTCGTCTATGCCTATTGCTAAATCGGTTTATGAGCGATCATTTGAATCGTCAA